CTAAATTTATTTCGATAAAAACATTTTTTTCTTAAATTGTATATTTGTATAGATATTTTTTAGTACACATTGTAATTACATAAAATTAATAACTTCAAAAAATTCTATATACAAATCAAAACAAATTTTTAATTAAATTAAATTTGCTCCGCTAGATTACGCCACGATTACATTAATAAAATGTAATTATATTGAGTAATTAATATATTATCACAATCATCAATTTATCAAAAATCAAAAATAACAATATAGGTTGTGTTCCAAAATTTACTGTTAGTACTGAAAATCTATGGTATACGTTATAGATTTTCAGTACTGGCAGTAAATTTTGGAACACAGCCATAGTTAGTACTTTATGTCAGTTACAAATGTCATTGTATAAATAGATGCCCAAATCACTTTTACGGTCTCTATTTAAATCTATTTTGTATTTTCAAATTTTCACTTAGTTAATATCTATCATCGTGATTTACCGCTTACTTTGATGCGCCGCTGTCGGCAATAGACGCAACTTGATACCTAACTCGGTAAAGTAGAAAAGTATGAGTTAAAGTATATTAACACCCGGTATAAGTATTGATTGGTCTTTTATTCAGTATAGGTATACTTATCGACTTGACAGACCTATTTCAGGTAGAAACTGACCTTACTTAGAATAGCTAAATTTATTTCGATAAAAACATTTTTTTCTTAAATTGTATAGATATTTTTTAGACATTGTAATTACATAAAATTAACAACTTCAAAAAATTCTATATATAAATCAAAACAAATTTTTAATTAAATTTAATTTGCTCCGCTAGATTACGCCACGATTACATTAATAAAATGTAATAGTGATAAAAAAAAACATTATTTATACAAACACAATTTATACTAACACAATTTATACAAAATTCTATATATAAAATACATATATATATGTGCGTATATTCTATATTTTAAATATGTATATTAATATTAAATTAATATTAATATTAAATTATAAAATTAATAAAATATAATATCCTTTCTCTTTCCATAAATAATAAATCAAAATTCTGATTCGTATACATAATAAATGAGATTCATGAAATATAGTTTACGTATCTTGGATACGAATAACTGTAAGTCAATAAATTTCAGCGTTGATCCGTTTCTATAACAACAGACACTGAGAATTCAGTCAGTCCAGTAGTGAACAAGAACCGCCTTGAAAAATCTTCTTTTATAAAGGGCTAAAAATCGCGCGATACTGTATCATACTTTCAAAAGTAAAATTTCTGCGCAATTAAATTGTGCAAGAAAAATTAACAATGATTGCAAAAACAACGGAGCAGTGCAGAATGTGCCATCAGGGGTTACAGTCTTACGATATATCCTTCGATACACAGAAGAAGGAGACCTACACTTTCGTGAAGAGTCCAAGGGCGATATTACACATTCAAAAAAAATACAGAAATCCTCCGATGTAAGTATAATCATTTCCGATAACTAATAATAATGTTACGATAATGATATGATAACCTTACTTAATGAGAGACTGTTCTGAAACTCGAAAAATTGCTTAGCAAACATCGACAAATTTGCAGATCTCGAATAAATTTTTAAGTAAAATGTTCTCCTACAATAAAAAATTAAGATATGCATAATCCTTATCGTCTTCGTTTAAATACATTAGAATTTAAATACATCATAATTTCATTATTAAGCAATTTAATTTCTCTAACATAATAATGTGATATGAAGATCATAATTATATGCTAATAATAATTGTAGGCCACTTTGCGCGATTAATAAAAAATATCTTTTTATATTCATAGTTGCACATTAAATTTTCATCTTATTGATGCAACAAGTGTATTAAACCATTATGTTTAACGATCTCGTGCAAATATACGCCCTAATCATTCTCTGAATTAATGATTCGGTACATTACAAGCGTATGATATGGAAAACACAGATTACGTTCGTTTCCTTATGTAAGGTATACTCTACATATTTAACACTGTGCTAAGTTTAAGCGAAAGTGTGAACTTTATAAAAGACGTACATACATATTAAAGTGAAAATTTTATTCTATTCCTCGCACGTTATTTATCTTTGATTTTTTATTGTAAATATTTTTCAATCATCACTATAGCACTACAAGTCTCTTCTTCTTTTGGAAATTTTTTTTAACTTACAATTCTTAATAAACATATTTAAAATAATTTCGTTGAAGAAGTGGAGAAGACTAATCACTAAATCAATTTTATTAATTTCTAGAATAAAAAGATAGCTTATAGACAGCTTATAGAAAAAAGAATTTTTGCTAACTTACATATTCTGAGGAAACTATTAGGATTAAGCTTTACGACTAGAAAAAGAATATCAATAACTGGAAAAGTACAGCGCATAGATAATACAACAGCGATTTAGTAGATTATAGATTACTGTACTTATAGACGACAAAGGGAATGACCGCATACGAAAGAATAAGTGTGTGATGCTATGCACATTGGCTTCACGTGATTTCTAGTTCTATCAAAAGAGAATATTTATGCTGTACAGCTACGTTAGATACTAAATATTTATATTACTAGATTAGAAACATTTCTTTCGTAAGAATCCAGAATGAAAACTTAAATTTTGTTTATTATCAAATTTTAATTTTTTATAAAAGCCAGAATAAAATTTCTTTTCCTTTTGCAATAAAAATGTTAAATTTTGCAAAACTTTTGAATTAAGATTTATTGAGAACATTTAATACTAAATATAATTACAGTCAATTTATTATTAAATATCACCATCAATTGAAAAAAATGAACAAATAAAATGACACGATTATAATTCAATAAAATAAGATTAAGAATATTATTTATACAAATTTGTGTGTAAATCATTGTGTATCATCATAAATTTATACAAAAGTGACTCATTTGTACATTTTATCGTCCTGTAGATTAAATGTAATAATATAGTCTCAAAGAAAGTTTTCTGACTATTCATATTGCGTACTACATTTCGCATAAAGCCATTTGCATATGACATAATAAAATAATCAGCAAGTGATATTGATTAGGATAAAGAAACACGCGCTTTACGTTATATGTAGAAGAGGTATACAAATATTAACAATAATAATCTCTTATATAATTGTCTTAAAGCGAGAATGTCAATTCATCAAAAAATAATTAATGAATACAGCGTATGTGTGAGTACTTGTTATTAAAAGAAACTGTGACATTAAATAGAAATATTTCCCCCTAATTTATTCCAAACTATAAAAATAACTATAAACTATAAAAATAAAAAGAAAATATAAATTCACACATGTGCATGTGTCCTACTTTATTTTATCGATCTTCTGACGGTGAATATCGGCGTTCTAAACAATATAATTGCACGCGACGTTTTCACGCAAAACGCGAGAAACCTGAGAAAAGTTTCTTCAAGGATTTCTGCAACGTATTAACAATAGTAAGAAGTACAATAAAATTTTACATCCAACTGTGATTAATTTCTAACCTTTTTTAAACAAAAATATTAATTAAATTTGTATTCTGATGCAATTAGTGTGAAATCAACTTTTTTGTTAGAATTCTCTGAAAAACAGATCTGTAGTCTATTTAAAAAATTGATAGAACAATAAACGCAAATACTGTAAGTTATTGTCGACGATCGTAAACAGCTATAGGTCGCTATTTACGACATGATTCAGGTAGAGGTTGACCAATCAGATGATTATGTGTTCATGCAAGGAGAAAAAAACTATTCCATTATTATACTATCTGCAAACTCGGAACATAAAATTCTACTTGCTAAATGTCACTTGTTATTTATAGACTTCAATTTAGTAAATCAATATTTTCTTGAAATATATTAAATATTTTTTTATAACAATATATTACTGCAAAAACTTTAATCTCTCTCTCTCTCTCTCTCTCTCTCTCTTCCCCCCTCCCCCCTCCTTCTCTCTCTCTGTATACATTACGATAAAATCTGAAAAATTTATTGATATTATGCAATTAGTGATTGTGCAAGAATTATATCATTTGTTTAGAATTTGTACAGAAAAATTTTACATTTAGAATTTCTTTGAAGAATAAGCTCGATCCAGCTTTCATACTCCAAACTTCGTGTTTGCTGAGAACAGATTTTATAGTTAGATTAATACGCTGTGTACCGTAAATATCGGATGTAATATACTTTTGGAGCAGCACGAAACCATTATAAATGCGACTGTGATTATACGATTTTATATAAAGTATACAATGGAATCCTTCAATTTTTTTTTAAAGATTTAGAAACTTTAATCTTTGAAATGTAAGAAAAAAATGTATGTATGTATGTATATATATATATACATATATATA